TTGCTTTGGCATGGAAACATGGTCTTCCATAAAGAAAAAAACATGACTTAAGAAATTCAATTTTCTTAAATTTCTAGATTTAAGAAATTAAGGGGCACCTGGGTGGCTCAGTTGGTTAAATGTCTGACTTTGGCTCAGGTCATGACCTCATGGTCTGTAAGTTCAAGCCCTGCATCGGGCTCTGTGCGGACAGCTGGGAGCCTGGAGCCTGATTCGGATTCTGTCTCCCTCTCTCTCTCTCTGCCCCTCCCCCATTCACGCTCTGTCTCTGTCTCTCAAAAATAAACATTAAAAAAAATTTTTTTTAAAAAGGAAATTCAGTTATAAATTGCCTTTTTCTAGAAATGATTTGAAGATTATAGAAACACATACATATGTGAAGATGATGGTTGGGAGAGAACACCAAAACCCATACGTGCTTGCACCAAGGTTCCCCTCTGTTGAGAAGGGTGCAGCAAAACAAGGCCCCGGGCAAATGTAATTTATAAAAGGATCGCTTAAAAACTATAAATGACATAAATATTTGTTGGAAGAGCGAAAAGAAAGCAGAGTGAGGCTGATTTCTTGGTTGTTCTGTCGGCCAGTATTTTCCCTACCTTTTGGGGATCCTAATTTGTTGAAAGCATCCCCTTTCACACCAGGAGCTGAAGGATTTGTTGGGGTGGGGGAGGGGACACTAGAGAAAAGAATAGAATAGAAGAATAGACAGCAGGAGGGTCCAAGGAAGCAGAACGTGGTAGGACTTGTTAGGTATCATCTAGGTCACTGTTTTCCAGACATATCTGAGGACCACTAGCAGTAATTTAAAATCCAGCAACCCTTTGGCCCATAAGACTCAGTTTGATGGTGCCTGTCCCATGGGAGTTGATTTAGTCTTGACTTCAGGAGTCTAAGCTGCCAAGTGCACAGGCTAGACCTCCTCCATCCGCCACTGCTTTGCTAACCTCTCGTTTCCCACAGACCTTTGCAGAGTATCCTCTCCTTTCTGTATCCCCTGACAGTGCTCAGAGTTCTCGCTCTCAAAGCACATGAGACCAGGAAAACTGGAATCAGTCTTGGGAAGACTCAGGAGAAAGAGGAGAAGCCCTCCTGTAGGATAATCCGGACACCGAGGGCCCCCTCGAGGGAAGGAGAGGTTCTGTTCCGCCATTTCGAGGGATAGGATTCTGTCCTGGGTCTTAGAGCTTTAAAACCAGAAGTTAACTGGTACCTTGGGAACCCCCAGAGAACCTGAACCAGCCACTGAAAATGTGCCCTAGACCTCAGCCCTTGACTTCCAACTTGAGGGAAGAGAACAAGGTGGGGTGTTATTGGCTAGCCTCTGTGTCACTCACCCACTTCCTGAGCCCTTGTTCTACGAGTTCTATCATCAGGACCCTTTAGAAAACAGGAGTTCCATCTACTGGGCCTCCTTGTGCTTGGCCTGCGGGAAGTAATTCCTACAGAGGAGGAACTTGAGGCTCTGAGAAATTATGTGATCTCCCCAAAGCCATGTGGCGGACACACATGCACCTGGTAGAAACCCAGGGACGCCTACCCTCCCCCCGCAAAGCCCACCGTCTTTCTATAACACCTGTCTCACTGCGCGGGGAAAATTGATCTCTCCTTCCTTCGTGGGAAATGGGTGACTTTGACTTCAGCCACGCTCAACTGTGTTCTTCCTGCCCGGTGGGCCAAGGGGAAAGACGCCGTGGGGAAGCCTCAGATCCTTCTTCTCACATGCTCTGACAGAATGGCCACGGGAGGTGTGTACATACACCTGCAGGTGTTCCAACTCGCTTCCAGGTGAAAGGGAAGTTGGGTTTGGGGGAACCTGGTATGGAGCGTGGCCTGAGACAGAGAGGGTGAGTACCAGGTTGGATGAGCAGCCATGGTGTCCGTGTGCAAAGGACCATCAGAGGCAGGATCCAGGTGGGAGACAACAGGAAGTCCATGGGTATCACCCAGTGGAGAGCGGAGGATGACGCCCGGCAAGATGCCTAGAGGTCTGGGGTTCTTGCACATTCCCCTCAGTGGACTAAACCACTGATGCAGAGGGAACTTAGAAGGTCACTGGGACCACTCAGAGGCCTCGCTCCAAACACCGTGTCCACATTTTGTTTGTAGCTGTCGTGGACCAGCGCCCCATCAACTACTGCACGACGGGCCTCCATGACTGTGACATTCCACAGCGGGCGCAGTGTATCTACATGGGAGGGTCCTCCTATACCTGCTCCTGTTTGCCGGGCTTCTCTGGGGACGGCCGAGCCTGCCAAGGTATGTGGTTCCTCTGATTTTTCTCCCTGTGTAACCCGAAAAGATTCCATGTGCTAATTACCAACTCATCCTGAAATTAAGAGAGCTGTTGTTTTTTGTTTTAAGTTTGCTTATTTGTTTTGAGAGAGAGTGAGTGCAGGGGAGGAGCAGAGAGAGGGGGAGAGAGACAGTTCCAAGCAGGCTCCGCCCTGTCAGCATGGAGCCCAGGGCATGGTTCAATCTCATGAACTGTGAGATCATGACCTGAGCCGAAATCAAGAGTTGGACGCTCAACCCACTGAGCTACCCAGGCGCCCTGAGAATTACCCTTTCAACTCTGTTGGGTAAACGGGCTGCATTTTATCTGTCTCTGGTAGTGTGAACCATGCATTTTCCTTTGGAAGCTGTTCTCACTGGAGAAGACGTTCAGCCTCCCCCTACTATTTTGTTCTGTGACTTGCTCGCTTAAGCAACAATTAGACCCCTGCTGTCTGGTAGAAACTGAGGAGATTGTCTTTTCCAAAAAGGCAGATAATCCTTGTATACATGGGGACTTGAGGTCCAGCTTTTTCTTTAGTAACATAGCTATAGCCATTCTCCTGGTCTGCTCTCACCTTCTGCTCCAGAAAAAGCCAAGTCCCCTTATTAAATAAATGACTGCAGAGTCTGGGAGAGTAAATGTCTCCACAGAATTCTTTCAGACGTGAGGTGAGTCCATTGTTGGCTGCCAAGATGCTTTTTAAAGATGATTTTAGGTAAGATAGCTGTAAAAAAAAAGTACCCCGATCCCCTGATTTGCAAAGTTACTTAATAATACACCATGTAGTATTTCTGAAAAGTTCAAGCTTTTCTAAGATTATAACTTCTGAGATACAGTACTTTTTTTTTTTTAAGTTTATTTATTTAAGAGAGAGAGACAGAGACAGAGACAGAGGAAGAGAGAATCCCAAGTAGGTTCCACCCTCAGCACAGAGCTCGACACAGGGCTTGAACTCAAGAATCGTGAGATCATTACCTGAGCTGAAATCAAGAGTTGGACACTTAACCGACTGAGTCACCCAGGCATACCTGGGATATTTACTTTTTGTTACTGAAAGAAAAGTAAATGTGAATTTTTTCTTGTCTCCAAGGTTTTTCTGTCAGTGGTTAATAATGTCTCCAAACTCTCAGACATTTTTGAAGCTCCCATTTGTGGTGAGAAGGATCATTTTATATAATATGCAAAAGAATCTTCTCTTTTTTTTCCTTTTGCATGCTTAATTTTCCATGAAAATGTTAATCATCAAAGTGAAACACATTTTACAAATACACAAGATAGAAATTGGGGAGTTAGTGGTTTTTTAAAAAATGTTTGTTTATTTTTGAGAGAGAGAGAGACAGAGCATGAGCAGGGGAGGGCAGAGAGAGGGAGACACAGAATCTGAAGCAGGCTCCAGGATCCAAGCTGTCGGCACAGAGCCTGATGTGCGGCTCGAACTCACAGACCTCGAGATCATGACCTGAGCCAAAGTCAGACACTCAACAGACTGAGCCACCCAGGCGCCCCCAGGAGATTGTGTTTTGATGAGTAATGTTTAGTGAACTTTAAATCACTGTTCCCAGATCAGAAACAGAGTCCTTTAGAGCTGACGAAGTGGTTTAAATTATTGTATAAACTATGAATTCCAGAACAAGTGTCATTGTCCCTGGGTTTGGTGGCTCTTTTGCAGATGTGGATGAATGCCAGCCAAGCCAATGTCACCCCGATGCCTTCTGCTACAACACTCCCGGCTCCTTCACATGTCAGTGCAAACCCGGCTATCGCGGAGACGGCTTCCATTGTGTGCCTGGAGGTAAGGTGTCAGAGATGTTTGGAGTTGGTAAGCCATTGCCACATTTGTGAATCCTGAGTCCCTGAACCTGGGAGAGGAGGTGAGGTGGGGAAGTTGCAGTCTCTATGGAGGGTCCTCAGAGTTGTTAAGGTGGGATATCAGAGCACAGCTGTAGTGGACGGGCATGCAGATTGTGCACTGCACAACTCCAGAGGATGCTACACAGACCGTAACTGTACTGGCAACCTGAAGTCTGTCATCCTTGTAACTTGAGCAAGCAGTTCAGGTAAGAACTGCTCTAGATTAGGGTTCCCCAGAGAAACAGAACTAATAGAGTGTGTGTGTGTGTGTGTGTGTGTGTGTGTGTGTGTGTGTGTGTCTGTCTGTCTGCCTGTCTGTGTTTGTTTATAAAGGAATGTATTATAAGGGAGGTTCTTATGATTATAAAGACTTGCAAGTCCCAAGATTTACAGTTAGCAAACTGGAGACCCAGGACAGCTAATGTTTCCATTTGACACTGAAGGCAGAGAAAAGCCAGTGTCCCAGTTCATAGTCATTAGGAAGGAAGGATTCTCTCTTACTCAGGGAAGGGCCAGCCTTTTTGTTCTATCCTAGCCTCCCACTGTTTGGCTGAGGCCGTCTGCTTTACTCAGTCTGTGAAGGTAAAATCTCATCCAAAACATCCTCACAGAAGCACCTAGAATGTTTGACCAAATATCTGGCACCCACGTATCTGGCATATCCCCACCCTGTGGCCCAGTCAAGTTCACACGTAAAAGTGACCCATCCCAGCTTCCTAGGAGTCATGGGGAATAGAGCTAGGGTGGAGGTGGGGAGCACGCGTGAAGGGCCACCACTGGGGAAAGGTGGAGGCCACGGACTGTACAGAATTGTCCGTATTACCACCTATACCTGGACTGTGCACCTGCTGAAGTTACCTGCTGACCCAAGGCTTGGGTGGCATCTCATTAGACCATAAGAATAATGATAGTCCTGGGTCCAGATCTGGACTCAATTCTGGGAACGTGGGAGGCACTCAACAGATGCTGTCGCGTGAATACGTGTAATTGGCTGCTGTTTGTTAGAACCTGCTCTGTGCTAGAAGCTTCCCCCGTACTCTTTCATGTAATGTTCACCATTGTCCTTTTGGAGCAAACACTATTACGATCCCCATTGGCAGAGAATGCCGATGCTTACCAAGATAAAGGCGTAATCAAGGTCCCACCAGTAGTAAGTGCTAGAACTGAGACTCAAACCCAGGTCTGTCTGATGGGCTTAAGCCTGGATTCAGTCCTCTAAACCACATGGTATTCCGTCATGAGATTAAGATTGTATTTGACACAGTAGACTGGAGTCACGTAGTTACTTATTTTTAATGACTGCTACTGTTTGTAGCCAGATATAGTCATGCCACTGTCAATATGTTATATATATAAATACACAAATATATAATGTTTCAACAAAATACCCATTTCACCACCTTTAAAAAATATATATATTTTTGAGAGCGGGAGTGGGGGAGGGGCAGAGAGAGAGGGAGAGAGAGAGTCCCAATTAAGCTCTGCGCTGCTCGAACCACAAGACCACGACCTGAGCTGAAATCAAGAGCCAGAAGCTCAATCTGCTGAGCCACCCGGAGCCCCCATTTCACCACCTTTTTAAGCAATTAATAGCGATTTCGATGTCTGTCTCCTTCACTAGCCTGTGAGTGTAGGATGCGTATGCCTTTTATTTTTATGTCCAGCGGTATCCTGTGGAGCATGTGGCCCATGATGGTGCTCACAGATTTGTAACTGTTGAAGAACCAAGTGAATGTACCAGTTTCCACTCCTATCAGCAGTATATAAAAGTATTTATTTATCCCCGCTCTCAACAGGACTAGGTGTTTTCCAGTTTTTAGGATAGTTGTCCAACTAAAAGGGGAAAAATCATAGATTAAGTTAAAATTTGGGTATATAGTACGTATTTCTGATCTACATTGTTCCCTTCTGATTAGAACAAGTATCGCCATACTGCTACTTACACGCCAAATCTGGCCCACCTCTTGTTTTTATAAATAAAGTTTTATTGGAACACAGCCATGCTTGTTAGTTTATGTATAGTCTGTGGCTTCTTTAATCTTACAAAGGCTGAGTTCAGTAGTTGTGACAGAGATTATAAAGCATGCAAAGCCTGAAATATTTACTACCTGGCCCTTGAGAGAAAATGTTTGCCAACCCCAGCCAGAATGAACCGAGGCAGGGCCAACTTTTTGTTCCTGAAATTGTGGGTAAAAACTCTTAGTGCTGCCCATAGATTCTGACAGGCAGATTACATAGAGAAGAGTTCATGATGATCTTAGTCAAGACTCTCCAGCAACTACTAAAAATCACTGACATCCTGTTATTTCCTTAAGCTTGCTTCATATCACCAGTTCAAAAAGAAGCAGATGTCTTCATCTCTTGGTTTTGTTTTTTGTTTTTAACCTCACTCCTTGCCCCCTCTTTAAGGCTCTGTTAAGTAAACAGAAACAAATTCATCCCTGCAGGCTGGGATATGAAGCTGGGACAAAGATAAAACCAGTGAGCACAGTCTGCTAGGATTGTTTATGTATTCAATCCTGTTCTCCTAAGAAATTCAACATCTAGTTAAATAGTCAAGAGAGAATGTGCACTAGAAATACATACCAATGTTCACCGAGTATTGCTTGTAACAGAAAAGAAATCTAAATGACTGTTGGTAGGAGGAATGGACCAATGGAGTTTTGGAACAATTCATACAATGAAATAATATGCAGCAATTAAAATGAGTAAAATGTTAAAAACATAAACAATGTAAGAATGTTAAAAAGTTTGGGGCGCCTGGGTGGCTCAGTCAGTTGAACATCCAACTCTTGGTTTTGTCTCAGGTCATGATCCCACTATTCGTGAGCTCGAGCCCCGCGTGGGGCTCTGTGCTGACAGTGCGGAGCCTGCTTCAGATTCTGTCTCTCCCTCTTTCTCTGCCCCTCCCCTGCTCACACTGTCTCTGTCTCTCTCAAAAATAAATAAATCAACTTAAAAAATATATAACGCTAGGGGCGCCTGGGTGGCGCAGTCGGTTAAGCGTCCGACTTCAGCCAGGTCACGATCTCGCGGTCTGCGAGTTCGAGCCCCGCGTCAGGCTCTGGGCTGATGGCTCAGAGCCTGGAGCCTGTTTCCGATTCTGTGTCTCCCTCTCTCTCTGCCCCTCCCCTGTTCATGCTCTGTCTCTCTCTGTCCCAAAAATAAATAAACGTTGAAAAAAAAAATTAAAAAATATATATATATAACGCCGTATGAAAATAAACCTATGTGTGTATACATATGTAGGAAATCTACAAAATGCATACAGAGGAATGAAAAACGAAAACTGAGAGCACGGGGTTACCTGCATGTAGGAGAGAGGCTGTTGGGATTGTGGAGGTTACACAAGAGCAGACTTTGTATTTTTCAGCTGGAATATGAACACTGAGGTTTTCATCGTATATTTCTAAATTATGGCTGACTAAAATACTTTCTGAAATATTAGCAGGGAGAAAACTAATGTCATCCGGACGCCTATTGCCAAACACAATGAAGTGCAGGGCGTCGGACAGTCCACACTTAATTTGGTACCTACTGTATACAGAAGGGACTAGCTGAAAAAATTAAACTGGCTTCGAGGGTAAGTCAGTTGAGGCAACAGCTTCTGCATTGTCAACTGGTGACAGGCAAGACCAGAAATTCTGATTTGTTTCCCCCAAGCTTCTGCACTCTTGCTCACAACCTGTGTATGTTCCATGGATCGCTAGCGCCATTTGCTTTTAAATGAAATGGAATCGAAAACAAGAATCAAGAAGATATCAGAGTATACAGAGTATATATAGTAGGAAAAAGTACTGTTTCATGAAATGATGCTTATATCTGCACGGATGAGTATGTGTGTGTGCGTATACATGTGTATATCGAGTTGCTGAGCAGAATGTATTCCTGTGGGTCATGGCCAGAAAGTTTGAAAGCCACCATGGTCCCGTTGACTCTTGAACAACACGGGTGTTAGGGGCACTGACTCTCCCACGCAGTTGAAAATCCACATATAACTTTTGACTGCCCAAAAACTTAACTACTAAGAGCCTACTGTTGACCGATAACATAAACAGTCAATTAACACATAGTCTGTATGTGGTATGTATTAAATACTGTATTCTAACAATGCAGTAAGAGAGAAGAAAGAAAATTTCATGAAGAAAGTCATAAGGAAGAGAAAATACATTTACAGTTCTGTTCGGTAAAAAAAAATTCACAGTTCAGACCCGTATTGTTGAAGAGTCCTTTGTAGTTATCTATTGTGATGTAACAAATGATCTTCAAGGTCGACAGCTTAAAGCATTACGTCTTTATTATCTCACAGTTTCTGTAGGTCAGGAATTCAGGAGCCGCTTAGCTGGGTGGTCTTGGTTCAGGGTCTCTCATGAGGTCGTTGTCTGGGGATTAGCTGAGGTTGTGGTCTTTGAAGGTCATCTGAGGCTGAAGGATCCCTGTGGTTGCTGACAGGCCTCTGTTCCTCATGCATTGTTGTACTGAGGACTTCACATCCTCACAGCCTGGGTCTCTTCATAGGGCGCCTCAGTGACTTCAACACCTAGCAGCTGGCTCCCTCCAGACCAAGTAATGAGAGAGAGAACACCCAAGCTGGAAGCCATGGTCTTCTGTAACCTCATCTTGGAAGGGACACACTGTCCCTTCTGGTGATACTGTTAGTCACAGGCCAGCCCCCTAACAGTGTTGAAAGGGAATTACCTAAATGTGAAACTACCAGGAGGTGGGAGATGGGGGCCATCTTGGAGGTGGGCTACCAGAGCCAATGACCTTGCCTGAGGACTGTCTGGAGGAATGTAATTGGCTAGATTTTTGGAAAGTAGGAGACCGGATTCTTAGCGGATCAAGAGATATATAATACAAAGTCCTGGGCTAGAGTTGCAAAGCTTGATCCTTAAGGGCAAATGCCAAGCCTATGGATGTTTGATCACATCTCTTCACCTATGGATGTTTGATCACATCTCTTCACGTGTGGCACCCGTCACACTTACCAGCATCTCGCACCTAGACACACATCACACAACTGTAGACACAAAGGCAATTCAAGAGTTCAGAAAGCAGGGCTGCAAGAGAAGATGAAAACATCGAGGAGATAATACAGTTTAAGAGAAAGAAAGCTGACGAACAACTTAATGTACACTTTTTATTTCTTATATGTCTTGTTGTTTGTGTTTCAGTGTGCACTTCACTTCAATCAAACCCTATGATAGAAAACTTGCATTTCCCAGTCAGAGCTAGAAGCAGCTCTAGAATTCTATAATTCATCTCCTTTGTTTTATAAACAAAGAACATGAGGACTGAGTAATTTCTTGGTTTACAAAAAAGTTCCTTGAACTTTTTATATAAAAGAATTTTCTATAGCAATTTTTTTCAAAATTGAGTAAAACCCTTTTTATTTATTTTTAACGTTTATTTATTTTTGAGACAGAGAGAGACAGAGCATGAACGGGGGAGGGACAGAGAGAGAGGGAGACAGAATCCGAAGCAGGTTCCAGGCTCTGAGCTGTCAGCACAGAGCCCAACGCAGGGCTCGAACTCACAGACCGCGAGATTGTGACCTGAGCTGAAGTCGGACGCTTAACCGACTGAGCCACCCAGGCGCCCCGAGTAAAACCCTTTTTAAAAGAAATTCTTTTTTTTAGGTTTATTTATTTAGTTAGAGAGAGAGAGAGAGAGTGAGCATGCAAGTGGGGGAGGGGCAGAGAGAGAGAGAGAGAGAGAGAGAGAGAAAGAGAGAATCCCAAGCAGGATCTGCACCATCCGCACAGAGTTCAATGCGGGGCTCGAACGTACAAACCGTGAGATCATGACCTGAGCCGAAATCAAGAGTCAGATGCTCAACCAACTGAGCTACCCAGGCGCCCCAAAAGAAAGACATTCTTAAAGTCTCTGGTGTTGGGTTAGATTATTTTTATTATAAATAAGTCTCCGTGTGTGGAAGAGCCCCCAGGAGCAGCCAGCCCCTCTTGGGGGCAGATGGGGCTGGAAGAGGCTAAAAAAATGGCGCCTCCCCAAATGAGTTGCTCAGCCCCATGGAGTATATCAGAGGCTGCAATAGTTATCTATGTGAATTAGCACAGAGAAAGAAATGTAATCAGGCGAGAGAATGAAATGTAAGTCAAGAAAGTTAAAAAGGTATTTTTTTCTTATTTCTCCTTCTCTTTCATTTTTCTCTCATTTTCTTTGTCCCCAACCTTGAGAAAGTCACCCCAGACTTCCTGCTTTTCCCTGGATAAATAGCAGGTCTTGACTGCTTCCTCCCCCGCGCAGATCAGACTAGATGAGTGAAAGGAATCTTGCCTGAGTGGTCATTTTATCAGCCAGAAACAGGCCCAGGAAATGTATCGTTATTACCCCGTCCTCACCCTGCCCACAGTGGAAAATTCTCCATGGGGGGCTGGGGCCCCTGGAGCAGCTCCCACTGCCTGGTGGCCAGGCTGAGAAGCCATCCCAAGAAACCCAGCGACATCACAGCTTTCCATAAACATACTTGAAATTCCATCTCCTGAGTCACAACTGGGGTTTTCCCCTCCTTTGTATGAGTTCAGGATACAGCACTTAAAAGTTCCACCGTAAAAGTTGCCGATCGCTTGAGATGTTGTACGTTGGTCAAACACCACGTCCGTGCAGAACCGTCAGCCTCGTAGAATGGAGCTGCCTCTGCTTCCTCAGATGTTTGCTTTGGTTGATTGCACGCAGAGCACCAGGTGTGGTTTAAAGTTGGAAGGGCAACATCAAACACAGATGGTGATGGAAGGAAGAGGAGTCTGTGGGCCACAGATGATTTCATGAGCGTATTAAGCTCACTTGTGTATGTCACTGTTGACGCAACCCACCCATTGTGTACGTGCACTGGCCTTGTGGGTACAGAGGGGCAGGGGGCTAGGCTAGGAATCCAAAGACCCACGGTGTAGCTTGAGCTGAGCTGCTTACTCGTGCTGTGATCGGGGAGCCCTTCACCTGTCTGAGCCTTGGGTCTCATTTAGTGGAAAAAAATACAGTTAGTTGCGTGTTGCATAGGATCCTAGTAGAGAGTTAAATGAAACACGTGTAAACGGAGACTCCTTGTACGGGAACTCTAAAACCCTGTGCGCACGGGAGGTATTGAGGAAGTGAATAAGTTCTATGTCCAAGAGTGAACAGGACCCAACATTTTATTCCCAACCGCATGGCTTAGTTGCATCTTTGTTTGGCTCTTCCTACATCATTTTTTTTTTTTTAGTATTAGCCCCTAGGGCTAAAAGGGAAAGCAATACCCACTTTTCCCTTGCCAGGTTTAACACACACTTTCCAGGCACCTTCACTGCTTCCGATCAAGGGAAGAACCACATGAGGCAGGCTAACATGAGACCTGGCAACATAGACAAAGGTACTTTAAACGTTTATTGGCAGGATGCGTGCTGAATGTCACCGCGAAGGCCATGTATAGACATGGTCACAAATGAACATTTGAGGGGCACCTGGGTGGCTCAGTCAGTTAAGCTTCTGACTCTTGATTTTGGCCCAGGTCATGAGCTCTCGGTTCCTGAGATTGAGCCCCAGTGCAGAGCCTGCTTGGGATTCTCTCTTCCTCTCTCTCTGACCCTCCTCGCTCATGCTCTCGCTCTCTCTCAAAAATAAATAAACATTAAAAAAAAAAACCCCAGCACTTTGGAGGCACCCGGGTGGCTCAGTCAGTTGAGTGTTTGACTTCGGCTCAAGTCACGATCTCACGGTTTGTGGGTTCGAGCCCTGCATCAGGCTCTGTGCAGACAGCTTACTCAGAGTGTGGAGCCTGCTTCGGATTCTGTGTCTTCCTCTCTGTCTGCCCCTCACCCGCTCATGCTCTGTCTCTGTCTCTCAAAAATAAATAAATGTAAAAAAATTAAAAATAAATAAATATACATTTTAAAAAAACAGCACTTTGGGGGCGCCTGGACTCTTGATTTCAGCTCAGGTCATGATCCCAGGGCTGTGGGATTGAGCCCCGCATCCAGCTCTGTGCTGAGTGTGGAGCCTGCTTAAGATTCTTTCTCTCTCTTGCTCTGCCTTTAGCTCTCATTCTCTCTCTCTCTCTCTTTAAAAACAAAAACAAACCAAAACAGCACCTTGGTACCCCTTTGCCCTTGAGACCCATGGAGGAGATGTCTTCTGTGGATCTGGCCTGTCCTGGGCTCTTCTGTCAGGACAGAGTGTAACAGTGTGTTTTCTTGTCCCCTCACCTCTGGACCGTGAGCCCCTTGAGCTCTTCCCTTGTCAGGTGCTTCCTGAGTGGAGGTGAGGGATGATGCAGTAGAATCCGCTTGGGGAGACAAACGAGGAACAGAGTCAGTGTCATTGTTAGTGTGACACAGCTCCAGGGCAGGTGAGCCCAGGCCCCCCCGGGAGCTATGGAGGCACACAGGACCCAGCCCTGGAGGGCCTGGCGAGGCTTCCTGGGGGAAGTAACTGGGAGGAAGGGAAAGCAGGGTCAAGGAGGAAGTGTCCCACCATGCACAGCACATGGAAAGGCCTGGAAAACAGAGGCAGCCGACATAGTTGGGTTTGGCCGGAGGGTGGCTGTCAGCAGTCAGCGTTGCTGGTGGCTGGGCATCGCTCGTGTGGTGGAGACTGTAGGGCTGAGGGCGGTGCTGGCCTGGCCCTTGTGGTGGCCGGACTCCAGCTGCTTCGGAACGAGCTAGAACTCTGTGTATTGGGAAGTTGTTGATTCCAGGCCATAGCTTCTTATCGGCGATTCCCAAAGATCTAGAAGTATTTCCCTACGTGGGGATCTGAGTTGCAGGGCTAAGAGGCCATGTTTCATGCCAAACACGAGCTCATCATTAAAATGAAACACAGTTGTTGGAAAATGTGCCCTGTGGTGTTTGGTCTCCCCACATCTTTGACCTCGACTCAACGTGGATAATCAAGCAGCTTGACATGATAAAAAGGGCAAGTTTCAGAGAAGCAAAGTTTCCCAAAGCAAATTTCAGCGATGTCCATCCGGTGATGAATGGACAAGCCAATGTGGCGTAACCACCCTGTGGAATAGTATTCAGCCATCGAAAAGGATGGCATACTGACGGATGCTACAGGGTGAATGAGCCCCGAAGACATTGTGCCGAGGGAGAGCAGCCAGACACAACAGGCCATGTGTGATATGATCCCAGTTATAGGACGTGTCCAGGAGAGGCCATCCATGGAGACAGAAGGCAGGTTGCTGGCTGCCGGGGGCGGGGAGGAGGGGGAAACAGAGAGCAGTGCTCTGCTTCTAGGTGTACGGTTTCCTATGGAGCTGAGGACAGTGGATCAGAATTCGGTAGAGGTGGCGGTTGCCTCTCACCGTGACTACACGAAATGCCACGGAATCGCTCACTTTGAAATAATTTTATGGCGTGTTCGTTCTGCCTCAGTTGTTACAAACTGAAACCAAAAAGTGCTTAGCAGACAAAAGAAAACGCAAACGTAATCTTGACTGTCAAATCCCTCAACCAGGATGATAGTTTACGTTTTAGAAAACGAACAAAACAAAACCCAGTGATGAGCGGGCAGCCTCCGGGGGCCCGAGTCCAGCATGGGTGTCCCGCAGCCACGGCTGGTGAGCACCGACCGATGACACAGCTGACCGTCTCCCTCCGTTTGTCTCTGTCGTAGAAATGGAGAAAACGCGGTGCCAGCTGGAGCGAGAACACATCCTCGGGGCGGCGGGGGCAGCGGACCCACCGCGGCCAGGTCTGTTCGTCCCCGAGTGTGACGAGCATGGGCACTACGTGCCCACCCAGTGCCACGGCAGCACCGGCTACTGCTGGTGTGTGGATCGCGACGGCCGTGAGCTGGAGGGCACCAGGACCAGGCCCGGGATGAGGCCCCCCTGTAAGTCCGAGGGCAGCGCCGTGCTGGGCTTGTGTCTGAGAAGGGCCTGGGGGACCGTGAGCGTCACCGGGGGCCTTGCCCAGGACGCAGGTGGCACTTTGTGTCTGCCCTCTGCACCCCTCTTCTCCGTCTCCCTCGCATGAACCCCGCTCCCTCCGTCTCTCCGTCCTTCCTCCCTCCCTCCTCACACCCCTTCTCCTTTCCTGTGCAGACCTGTTCTGTACAGATGCCAGCGGGACAGGCCGCAGTGATTCTCGGCAGCAGAGGGTGCGTGTGCTGTGGGTCCCCCGGGGCACAGTCCCTGCAGTGGTGGCCTGGCCTTCCAGTGTCTGTGGTGTTGGGACATTGAAGGCCTGGGAGAGGCCGACCGAAGCCCTTCCCTGGGAGGCGCTGGGCGGGGAGTAGGGGCCTGTGTGCGGCCCAGCGGGGCTGTGCGGCTCGGGACCCAAATGGCCTCAGTCTCGGCTTCCTCAGCCTCCACCCAGCAGAGGAGCGGAACAGTCTCTTGGACGGATCCCGGCTCTAAAATCCTGCCTCTGTCTCAAACGTAGGAAATGGTAGCTGTCACAAGTTACCAAAATCAGATGCAGTCAGTCCTTGAATCTCCATTGTCCATACAGCTAATAATCAGGGATTGACCCCCTACCAGATATTTTCCGGAAGCTGCTAAGAGGCTGCTAAGTGAGCAGGAAGTGGTCATTAATCCATCCGGCCAACGTTCACTGAGCTTCAGATGCTGGGGTCAGTGCTGGGGGTCCAGAAGGGGGAGTCACAGTGTGGCACCCAGAAGGTCAGAGGACAGGTGAACAGGTGCAGGGCAGGGAGAGGAGCTCTGTGAGAGAGGAGGAGGCCGGGAGACCCAGAGGAAGGTGTCCCTGGCTTCTGTGGGCATGGGGGGCTAGTTGGGGAAGGCTTTCCAGAGCAGATGGTGTGAACCAAGTTATTGGGGGGGGAGGGGCTGGGGTTGAAAGGCCGATTCCAGGCAGCAGGAGCAGGCTGCGAGCTCACAGACATTGCAGGGGTATCTGTCCTGTGGGAGGGGAGTCGAGGTGAGGATCTGAGATGCCCAGCAGAGGGGCCTGGGGTTGATCACGAGGGCAGCTGGAAGTCCAGGGAAGGTCTTGAGCAGGCATTGATGCCACCAGATGTAGGTTTTACACGGATTGCTGGTTGGACTGTGGAAGCCGAGAGAAGAGTGGGGGAGGGGAGGGGCCGTCCAGGTGCTGAAAACTAATCCAGGTGAGAAGCTGCAAGGGAACGGACCTCAGGGGCTGGCAGTGAGTTTGGAGAGGAGGGATGAACTCCAGAGAGAGTAAAGACGTCAGCCAGATGGGTTTATGTCACTGACTGGGCACAAGGAGCAAGACGTGGAAATGGCCCCAGTAACGACCGGGTCCAGCCCTCTCTCTTCAGAGAGCAGGAGACAAAGCCCAGGAAGAGCCATGACTCATCCACACAGCAAGGGAATGGAGGGCTGGGTCTGGGACCCAGGCTTCCTGACCCCCACTCTGTGCCCCTCACCCTTCTCGGGACACTCTGTTGTCAGGGGAGCCGGGGCGTCGTGCTGAGCACTGGGGTCAGTATTTAGGAGGCGAAGCGGAACCTGGGGGCGAATTAGTCTCTGATCCTCGTTCTGTCCCTGAAAGCCCAGAAGGGGCGTGTTCCCGCACGGCAGTGGGTGTGACCCTCGCCCACCACGGGGACAGGGTGCATGGGGCTGCTTCCCTGCTAGTCCCCCCAGCATTGGGAAGCTTAGTGCCTGCCACTGGGAAGTGAGCTCCCTGTGGGCAGGGGCTGTTTTGGTTCACTGCCGCGGCCCGTGCCCAAAGCAGGACGTGAATGGTCGCATTATTTCTATTTCTATTTCGGGGAAGTCCAGGCCATTTTTTTTCAAGTGACCTTTAATGGCAGACTCATGCCCCACCTCCTCTTCCTCACAAATGCCCTTTGACTGAGGTCTTTCTGCAACTTGTGCTTTTAGATACAAATGGGCATTGAGTAGCTGTGCGCCTGTGGTGCCATGAAGCTGGCGTGACCCCGTGTGTGTGTTTGTGTGCACTCCTCCTGCACATAGGCCTTGCTCATTGACATCTCCTGCCACCTAGGTCTGAGTACAGTGGCCCCCCCGATTCACCACGGACCCTCTGTCCCCACTGCTGTGATCCCTCTGCCACCTGGGACCCACTTACTCTTTGCTCAGACCGGGAAGATAGAGCGCCTCCCCCTGGAAGGAAGCACCATGCAGAAGTCAGAAGCCAAGACGCTGCTTCATGCCCCGGTGAGTGCTGGCTTAGTGCACTTGGCGACAGCTTCTGCTTCAGCGACCCGGAAAAACAAGCAGGGTGTAGTTAGACCAGTACGGGGGCTTGACCCCTGGACGCAGGAGCCTCTTGATTCCACGTGACCGCAGGTGTCCGTCTCTAGACGGGGCCACTGTGTTCCCGAGCCGCCTGTGTAGCTGGGAGGGCAGGAGCAGAATCGGGAAGGCCATGGAGAGGCCACTGTGGTGTCTGACCCCTTGGGTGGGGCATCACACGAGTTGGCAGATCTGGTCTGTGTGCGTCTCCCAGGTCTGACCTTGCCCTTCCTGCTCAGTACAGTGGCTCGTGTTTGGCAGACCATCACCTCAGGATCCTCAAATCTGCCCCGAGGTGGTAACAGCTTCGGCTTAGAGCTTTTCAAAGCATCAAAGATGCATTCTGCGAGTTGGGGAATTTTTGTCTGTTAGGGGTTGGACGCTTCTGAAAAGCTGTTCTGTTTCATCTGTGATCCTGACCCCCTCTCGCCAAGAAACCAGACCTGAGTGAGACCTGGGGGCTTCCGGCGGGATTGGGTCAGTGTTGCCAGAGCAGTGGGGCGGAAGGGGGGGCGGCCCTCAGGTTCCGTAAGGAGTGAAGACGCTTTTCAAATCCCCTTCTAATTAGCCTCAGTTGGATTCGTGTTCTTCTCCTGCACAAAACCCTCTGAAGGGCTCTTCCTTCACACAGAATGAATCCAGTTCTTCCTTTGTCCTCTGGCCACCTCCTCCATCCCATTTCCTGCCACTATCCCCTCACTCTCCAGCTTCAGCTCTCTGACCCTCTGGCTGGTCCTCAACACACCACACACATTCCCACCTCAGGACCTTTGCACCTGCCTGGAGTCCTGTCCCTCCCAGACCCTTCTGCAGTGCACTGCCTCGCCTCACTCAGATTTCTGTTGGCACATCACCTCTCTGAGAGGCCTGACCTGGCCACCCTGGCCACACTGCTCTCTGCCCCCTTATCCTGCTTTGTGTTCACCATAGCACTCAGTACTGCTCAATACATTATGTGTCAGTGTATATGTTCCATATCTGATGTATCTATTCCCACTAGGAACATAAGCATGCCAGACCAGAAACCATCCACCTGTTTCATGGAGGTATTTGTTTCACAGTGGTGTTAGAGCCAAAACAGTGCTTGGCACTCAGAACATACCTGCCGAACGAATAAGTGATCTTTGTATTGTCCTGTTCCCTCACTGACACACAAATCCCTTTGAGGGTGAGCATCCTTCTCATTTTGTGTCCTCTCAAGCACACGCTCACGTAGCGGGAGTGGGCTGGGTTCCCTGTGAAAGTCATTGTCGCCCACGATGAAGGGAAGAGGTTAAATGTCAAGGGAGGCTGTGAAAAGCAGAAAATGGTGGGGCCGGTGGAGGGGAGGGCACTGATACAATAGGAGAGATACTCACTGTTCTTTTATTTTGTGTCTTGTGTATTGTTCCCATTTTTAAATTTTTTAAAAAAATCTTTATTTACTTTTGAGAGAGAGAGATAGAGTGTGAGCAGAGGAGAGGCAGAGACAGAGGGAGAGAAGCAGGCTCCAGGCTCCGAGCTGTCAGCACAGAGCCCGACACGGGGCTCAAACTCACAAAGTGCGAGATCATGACATGAGCCGAAGTTGGGCGCTTAACCGACTGAGCTGCCCAGGCGCCCTGTTTTTACCATTTCTAACCACTTCTCAGTGATGGTGTGACTGTCACCACCATCCATCTCCAGAACTGTTTTCATCATCCCAAACAGAAACTCGGTCCCCGTTAGATAATAACTCCCTCCTTCCCCAGCTCCTGGCAACCTCTAGTCTGCTTCCTGTCTCTATGGATTTGACTCCTCTGGGTGCCTCATATATTTGGAACCATCTGGTATTTATCCTTGTGGAAGGGGCTTACTTGACTTAGCATCATGGCCTCAAGGTTCATCCATGCTGTAGCCGTGCCAGACTTTTCCTTCCTTCTTAGGCTGGATAATCTTTCGTTGTATAGATTTACCACATTTTGTTTACCTGTTCATCCTTCAATGGACATTTGGGAATATTGCTGCTGCGGGGATGTATGCACCAACGTCTGTTCACGTCCTTGCTTTCACTTTTTTTAAGGATGAACCAGACCTGGAATTTCCTAATCATATGGTAATTCTGTGTATGTTTTCTTTATATTTTGAGAAACTTGCCATGCTGTTTTCCTTAGCTGCACCATTTTACATTCCCGTGAGCATGGTACAAAGATCCCAATTTCTCTAAATCCTTGTTGATACTTATGATTTTTAATTATTAATGCTAGTCATCCTAATATGTATGAAGTGCTACCTCGTCGTGGTTTTGATTTGTGTTTCTCCAACAAGCGATATCTGCATCTTCTCACGCACTTATGGACCATCCGTGTATCTTCTTTGGAAAAATGTCTACTCATATCCTTTGCCTATTTTGTAACTGAGTCATTTGTTGTTACTGAGTTGTAGGAGTTCTTCATATATTTGCTTTGCCTCACTTTGCATTTCCATAGACATTTTAGAGTAAGCTTGCAAGATTCTACCAAAGGGAAAAATAAAGCCTACTGGGATTTTGATACAGATGGCATTGAATCTTTAACTCTATTTAGGGGAAATTGATATCTTAGCAATATTAAATGTTACAATCTATTCAACTAATTTATCTCTTCATTTATTTGGGTCTTCTTTAATTTCACTTTGTGATGTGTTATGGCGTTTAGTGTAGAATCGTGCACATGTAAAAATATTTGTTCTTAAATACTTTGTTTTGAATGTTATTTTAAACATTACTCTCTTAAATTTTTTATTTTGTGCTAGTATGTAGAAATAGCATTTTATATTGCCATTGTACCTGCAACCTGGCTGGATTTAACTGATAGTTATACTAGTTCTATAGATTCCCTGGGGTTTTCTACAGAAACAATCAAGTTGTCTTAGAGTGGTTTTACCTCTTCCTTTCCAATATTTGTCTTTTTAAAAAATGATCTTTAGGTAGGCAAAGGTTGCTTAGATGATGTAGAAAAAGTATAAGAGAAGCAATCATGAATTGAACTTAATAAATACTTAAAACTTGTGCTTTGTTAAAAACACCATTAAGAAAAAAAAGAAAAGAAAAAACCCAAAACAACAACAACAAAAAGAAACTGAAAAAAACTACATAATGAGTGGAAATACACACACACACACACACACACACACACACACACGACAGAAGTTTTTAGCTGAACTATATAAAGAACTTCTACAGCTCAGTAATAAACGTTTTTAAATGGACTAAAGACTTGAAGACCTTTCATAAAATAAAGGTGTCTGGATGCCAGGAAGCACGCGGAAGATTCCCACCATCACTGGTCACTCAAATGCTAGTGAGTGGGCCACTCTTATGGCTGGTCTGCACTTCCAGGATAAAGTCATCATTGGCCTGGCCTTCGACTGTGTGGACAAGATGGTTTACTGGACCGACATCAGTGAGCCTTCCATTGGGAGAGCCAGTCTGCATGGCGGAGAGCCAACCACCATCATTCGGCAAGGTGGGCAAGCAAATACCATTCTTCTTTCTTGGTTTGGCTTCTGGAAGCCCAAAGGGTTCCTGGGAGAGAGCAGAGGAGTGGGTGTATGATTGCATACAGGATATGGTGATTTGAGGCTGACTGGGTCCTTGGCCTCAATGCCACCCTTTCCAGCCTTCTCTGGAAAGTCCTCCAAGGACTTATTGTTAAATCGTGAACACCTTAGCTGGGACTTGTGGCTGGCCTAAGATGAATAAAGTTAAAACAGGTAAGTGCCCACGCCTTTCTCTAAAAGCTTATGTACCCAGTTTTAATGAACAGTAAGGGCCAAACTCCACCATCCACTTTGGATATGCATTTCTCCTCTGCCTGTTGAGCCTAGACTTGATTCTCAGAATGCCTGCCCCATGGTATGTTCCACTGGGATTTCCCCAAAAGCAACAGGCAGATGATCATAAAGTTGGGAGGGTTACAAGCATATTGGCAAATATTGTCCCTGATAGTTGTCTATTCCCAAGACAGTTTTCAAGTCAAAAGTTGTCACTTCAACCTGTGACATCGTGGTGGTGGTGGGGAGATGTCTTTTCTACCTTAGCTCCACTGGCACCTGTCCTGATTGCCTGTGTCAGAGGAGTGCAGCAAATCAGGCTGGGCTTCCATAGACATTCCTCAAATTTCAGTTGCATTACTGGTAATGAGGTGCACGACGCTTTGGCACAGCCTACCCCTCAGCATTTAACCTCAACTCCTTAACTTACAGAGGTTGATTAAGGTCAAGAACTCTATGTGTTATTATAATGCCTACATTCAACAAGTCATGACTATTTTATGTGGATATGTTTTCTCAAGATTAAAGACCATTACAGCCAAAATCCAAGGGTCTGTACAAATTCACCTTTACTGAAAAGGTCAAATATTACATGTTGCTAAGTCAGTAACTCAGCAGCTGACTTGCAGGTATTTTCAATCGAAAGACATCGTGGGGGCGCTTGGGTGACTCAGTCGGTTGAACATCCAACTCTTGATTTTGGCTCAGGTCATGTTCCCAGGGTGGGGTCATGGGATTAAGCCTGGCATCAGGCTCTGTGCTGATCGTGAAGCCTGCTCGGAATTCTCTCTTTCTCTCCCTCTGCCCCTCTCCCCTGCTTGCGTTCTCTATCCCTAAAATAAGAAAGAAAGGAAGGAAGGAAGGAAGGAAGGAAGGAAGGAAGGAAGGAAGGAAGGAAGAAAGAAAGAAAGAAAGAAAGAAAGAAAGAAAGAAAGAAAGAAAGAAAGAAAAAGAAAGACATTGTTATGCCAATGATAGTTGTATAAAATCATCTTGTTTCCTCTGCAAAACACTGAAATCAAAGATACGGTTTCAAAATGTATGAGCCTCATTCGGTATTTCTTTTTACTTGGGGCTGCATGTCACTTTTCCCACTTCCAATTTAATGTTTCTCTAATAATTGATGTTCCGGAAGGGTGCCTATGGGGCAGTTTTTTTCCTTTCTTGGCTCCTTCACAAAAGATGATCAACAGGAACCAGGCTGAGGTTGAGTTAAATATGTCTAGCTTTGGACATAGACCCTGACTCCTTTTCTGGAAGCTGACATGCTATTTAAATAATGTCTGGTAGTTTTCATGGTTTCGTTTAATGAGCAGAATTTTGAAAATGCCTTTTTGCATCGTGTGTGTGTGTGTGTGTGTGTGTGTGTGTGTTAAAAATGTTGTTGCTATTGTCTGTGATTTGACTTCAAAACCCAGTGGAAAAGGGGAATAGGTCATCATTGCTATTTCCTGTTGCTTCTGGAACTGATAATTATCCAAGAAAGCTTTAAGCACAGTAAGAAACATTCCAGGCCAAAAGTCCACTGTGAAAACACAGAATTAAACTAGAATGAGATCTTTGTAGAAGAAAGATCACTGGGAATAAATTTTCTTTTATTTACAAATAAAAATAGTTACTGAAAAATAATTTTTAAAATATTTAAATAAAGGAGAAAGAAACTTCCACTTAAATCTTCATTGTGGTACAGGTTGGTGCATCCCTAGTGAGTGGAAGAGGGGGTATGTATCTCCTCTCTAGTTCATGCAGCCTGAATCCTAAGCTTCTCTTTCTCTCCTTGAGTTAAACTCCTAACCAAACATCTTTAATCAGGATCATCATCTGTTTCCTTTTGACATCAGCAGTGTGGAATATATTGCCTTGCTGTCTTCCCTAATTGCCCTGACTGCACAGTAAAGGGGGAGGCTTTCCAGATCTTTCCTTTGGCATGATAGTTCATAAAGTAGTGTTTTCCTGGTTGGAGGAGGTTTGATTGCTCTTGGGTTTGAGGTCAGGATCAGAGCTGTTGATAAGGAACCAGAGAGACATAGAGTTTCTGGGTTCCTCTGGATATCTTGCAAAGTACTGTCACTGAACAGCCTTTTCTCCCCCACTCTTCTGTCTGTGTGTCTGAGTGACTGGTGTCCTGGTAGAGAATGTGCTCATTCCAGATACACCCCCAGAATGATTTATTCTACCTTTGTCTGAAAGTCGGAAGGGGTCTTTGGAGGTCAGGCTCGCTGTCCCTTCACCTCTAGGGACGTGGGAAACAGTTTCATACTTTACAAATCTCTACTTTGGTTTGAATAACAAAAATCTTGTTTGAGTGCTTTTTCTAATTCTTAATAAACTGCCTCTGGCTGGGGTCCTTTCCGGGGGACGGGGCTGTGGTGTTTCCAGCATCCAGGGTCATGGTCATATTAGGAGTCTAGTGGAGGCTGATACGAGAGAGCGGACGTTCTGAACCATTTCCACGCTGATGAAAGAATGCATGTGGGCATGATTTCCTCATATCCAGGATCCCTCGGGTAGGATGGCTTCATCCTTGGCCTCTTCTGCCTCCTGCTTACACTTCCAGCCATACTAAGTGACCTTCAGTTCTCTGATCAATAGAGAAGAGGGAATCCTAAGTGACACTACTAAAACCCTGGTGGGGTTCTGATGTTTCGTTTGCTTTTATTTATAGTCCGGAAACCATTAGTTCTGTGGCTCTGAAGGTTCCTGTTGCGGCTGGCTTACTCTGTGGCAGCCCTGGCTTGGAAATCAGTTACTTAAAACCTAGTGAGGACTTTCTGGGAGTGCTATATGCGATCACTGACACCCCTTCTTTGTACTCCTGATACCTGTGCAAAAGTAGTAACAGCTGTGATTTCTTGCAGTTACTCCTCTGAGATGACCCTATTCCCCCAATAACTAATGAACAAGGTGTATGGATTTGTTGCATTTTTCTATGCTCCCCCCCCCACCCACCATGCTTGCGGGTTAAGCTCGAAGCTCTTTAACACGGGCATCCTAACTTCATCTCTGGGCACTCTCCCGTCCTCATGGACTCCAGCCATACAAAATTATGCTGTATCCAATCTTCTCCCACTCCGTGGAAGCCCGCATCCAGGATCTTTGCCTGACAAACTCCTGTGGGTCCTGGGGGAGCCAGCTTTACAAGGTGTTGTCTCCCTCAGAAATCCCTCCCAGGTCTCCCCAGGCTAAGTCTAGTGTCTCCCTCCACATTCCCATAAAACCAAAACTCAGTCTGAATTGAGATTGGTTGCAAGTTCCTGGAAACCAGGGCCACCACTTAGGCGTCATTATGGGCTTGGTACATAACGAGATGTCCGCCGAGTGAATGAGTGACATTGTCACTTTGACTGTGGCTCATCTGATCAGCAACATGCATTTCATGTTCCCATTTGTTTTTCCAAAGTGCAAGGATTGAACACCGAGGGGAATAACACTGAGTAATCCACAAAACCTAATCTTAAGTTGCTTTAAAAACCCAGAAGTATGCTGTGTTTGATTCTAGATCTTGGAAGCCCAGAAGGCATTGCCCTCGACCATCTTGGCCGCAACATTTTCTGGACTGATTCTCACTTGGATCGAATAGAAGTTGCAAAGCTGGATGGGACCCAGCGCCGGGTGCTGTTTGAGACTGACTTGGTGAATCCCAGAGGCATCGTAACGGATTCCGTGAGAGGGTATCTTTGTGTAAATCTGTGTAAATCTATTCGACTTGGAACTGCTCTTTCAGATACTCTCAAATGTCAGGCTCTAATGCCAGCATCAGTCTCCTGAAGTGAATGAGTTCCAGGATGAACAGGTCTACAGCTGGTGCCTTACAGATATGCACTGTGAAATGCCAGAACATTTATTACAGTTCCCTGTGACCATGGACTTGATCAACCATGTTCTACTTGTAAATCTCTTAGGAAGGGACTTTCTAAGTTCACAGCTCAGAAATTGGGTATTTCCATTCGAGTTGAATGTGGATAAACACTTGCCTTGTACCAGCCCCAGAATGGTGTCCAAGTGGCATAAATGTACCCCTGGGGCTGAGACCCACACAGCATGGACACCTTGGAGACCCCTTCCTGGGGGTTTTGTCATCACATCAATGCTTTTTTTTCTTTTCCCTACAGTTAGTTTTAAATCTTACCTGCGAGACCTTTTGCACCTCACGCTGTGATTCCTTCCCCGTGAGACCACACCCCCAGTTCTGTGGCCACTTGGCCACCTCCCCCCCTATGGCAGACACCTCAGCCACCAACTCTATCAACATCTGCTTCTGTGCCCAAGCCCCTGGGTCCACTATGCACCCCTGTGTAGTGACAGCATGTAGGAATCCCCAGATGTTTATCTCGGGTGTGTGTTGTTTTGTGTTGTTCTTTTAGCTTTATGGAGATACGCTGTATCAGTTACGTTTAAGGAAAGTGAGGTCATTAGTACCAGAATAACCAAACTCAAACCAAGAACCAAACCCAAGTATCTCCTGCAAAGGAAAAGGTGTCTTATCACCTCCAGACCCCTTTTAGCCATCCTGGGTTTTAATGTGTTCATTGTGGGTTCTCTTAAAGTTTTTTTTTTTTTTTTTAAATAAAATTTTTCTTATCCATCTTTAACATCTTTGTTGTTCCTCTTTCCCTTCCTTTTCCTCCTGCAGGAACCTTTATTGGACAGACTGGAACAGAGAAAGCCCCAAAATCGAAACTTCCTATATGGACGGCACAAACCGGAGGATTCTGGTGCAGGATGATCTGGGCCTGCCCAACGGGCTTACATTCGATGCCTACTCGGCTCAGCTCTGCTGGGTGGACGCAGGTGACAAAGAGCCCTGCGCCTGGCTGCTGGGGTTGCAACAGTGCTTTTTCCTTTTAACCTAAACAGTTATTCTCACCCACTGTAGGCTGGGATCTGTTATGGGGAAGAGAGTATAAGATACCTGTTTTATTTTCCTACACAAAAATCAGCTGCCTGTCTTTGCTCTGAAATGCATGGTTTCTATAGGCTTGATGGTGTCCAGGGCAAGTGTTCCATCTTTAAATCAGGGGTCAGCCAATCCTAGCCCGTGAGCCACATCCAGCCAGCCGCCTGTTTTGGTATGAGTCAGGTGCTATAAATGGTTTTGATTTATTCATTGTTTTGAGAGAGAGCAACAGAGAAAGAGAGAGAGACAGAATCCCAAGCAGGCTCCATGCTGTCAGCACAGAGCCTGACGTGGGGCTCGAACTCATGAACCGCGGGAGATCATGAACGACATTGCCGGTATCATGACCCCCAGGCGAGATCAGTAGAGCGGCTTAACTGACTAAGCCACCCAGGCACCCCTGGGTTTTACATTTTTAAATGTTACATTTTAAAAGGTTCCATAAATAAATGCCTATAGTCTGACCGATTGTGCTACTTTGGCCCACAAAAGTCCATAATACTGTCTGCATCTTTGAGAACAAGTCGCATCAAGTTGTTCTCATCCTATTATTATCTCTGCATTATGCAATTTGTGACTTCCATCCCCTGTCATGCTTGTCTTCATGGGCTCAAGCAAGACTTGTGGTGCGGGAGAGGAAGGCATGGAGTGTCTGTGAGCCTGGCCTGGGTAGTCCCTCTAGGGAGGAGAATGTGGGCCTGGCTCTGGAAGAGGGGAACTCCAGTCATCCGAATGCCTGTGGAGTACCTGCCCTGCTCTACATACGCTTGTCAGGTGCGGTCAGCATGGGGGAGGCTAGTGCAAGGGACTGTACCAAAGGAGAGGAAGACACGCGCTGACATTAAACTCAAAATGCAAGCGAGTGTGGCCGCCATGTGTGAGGCATAGGGGGCTGCTGCATGTGGCCAGGGGCAGGGGCAGGAAGCTGTTGAGCAACTCCGGGGAGAGAGGGGCCTGGCAGCGTCAGTCAGGGGAAATCTGGCCCGGCGAAGACGCCCAGCCGCGGAACTTTCCCCGGGTCCCCAGCTCTCTGGGAATGGCGGGACAAGGAAGTGGTCCTCTGCTCCAGGCCCCTTGGGAACCAGTATGTTCCCCAGCGGAGGTGGGTGGTGCTGGACTATAGAGGGCAAGGCAGGGATGAAGGAGAGACACTTCTGCTATTGCTAAGAAGAGCAAGCAGTCCGGTGTGTTCCTGGATCGCTATGCCCATCGTGAGACTGCTTTCGTCACCTGCCTCTTCCTCATCCGGCCATTTCTTCTAGAGCGGTAATTTCTTGTCTCCACAGGCACCATTGGTCGGGGTGGAATGTCGAACCCCGAGCAAATGAAGGTTCGAGAGGGGTTCTCCATGCCCATCCCTCACGTTACGAGCTAGGGAAGCATCTTGGTATTACTACTGAGATTGGAAGTGTTGTGAGCTTGTGCAGCGGTGGGGGGGCGGGGGGAGGGTGGGGGCGTGCAGGGCTGGGAGCAGGAGCACCCTGCCGTCTGTCCTGGAGTAGGCCCTTCCCATGTTGGCCTCTCTGGCGACCTTCATGGTACGCCTCCCGCCACTGGCCTCGCACCTCACTGCCCGTCAGAGGTGAGGGGAGGGTGAGGTGGGCTCTCGGAGGCTCCTTGGGGGGCCAGGAGAGGGCCAGCAGCGTTACCCAGGGCTCCCGGATGGGCAGCTTCAAGTCAGAACTTGACGCATGAGCCCTGTCTGTTTCCCGAGGCAGGGCTCACTGGCGGGCTCTAGCACCGCACGTGCCCCCCCTAATCTTCATTCTATTTAAACATGCATTCTGGCCCAGCCTTCTTGACCACCCCTTCCGCAAAAGGAGGAGCAGTCTGGCATGACAGGCATCTGAGGAAAGCCCGATTTCCCAGCCTGGAATTTAGAGCTGAGGGGCAGAGCTAGCTCAACTTTGTCCTTTTTTTTTTTTTTTTTTTTTTAAAGAGACCAGAGAAATGCAGGCTTGTTCCCACCACAGGAGGAGGGGAGGATGGCTAGGAAGTGAGCCCAGCGTGTCCCTTCACGGCCTCCAGTTTATCCCCAAAACCCCAGAAGACGCTGCCCAGTAGACAGAAGGTTGGAGCCACCAGATGTGTCTTTATTTGCTGCCCTTTGGTGTTTTGTAGGAGTTCTGTGGTTGCTGTAGATCTTGCCATTTCCAAAGAGACGGATACCTTCCACCCCCACAAGCAGACCCGGCTGTACGGTGTCACCACGGCCCTGTCTCAGTGTCCCCAAGGTAACGCCCCCGTGCTCTTGCCGTTCAGGGGCCAGGGATGCTCTGTGGCTCCACGCCTCCACCCTGCCTGCTGCCCGTGGGGCCTCCACCTGCCCTGGTCACATGGCAGGCGAGACGCACTCCCTTCCATCGAGGGCCTGCATTGTTTAATAAGTGAGCCAAGTCAATACCTAGGAAACATTAGGCAATGAACTGGAAATGGTGGACAAGGGGGAGGAAGAGTATTGAATCTTGGGCTGGGTCTAGAAGTATGTGGTCTCTGGGTTCCAAATAGGAACATCCGTGTTACGGTCTCTGTGGCTTTAAGGGTCCCTTCATTTGGCCTAACAGCCACAATAGTAATTACCTCTAATAATAATCACAGACACGGACAAGGTGCTTACCGTGAGCTGGGTCCTTTACATATGTGAACGCGGTGTGCTAAGTGCCTTGTGTTCGCTAGTTCGCTTAATCCTCATGGCGACCGCATGAGGTAGGTACTATTTGTGTGCCCATTTTATGCATAAGGACATGGAAGCCACTAGCCCGAAGTCACAGGGCTCACAGTGGTGCAGCAGGAGAGTCAGCCAGGCAGCCTGGCTCCAGGACCTGCTGTGTTGCCTCTTGGGAGACCTCTCCCCTCCCTCACCCCCCTTGGCTCCCCACCTCCCCGAGGCCAGTGCAAAGCCGAGTGGACAAGCTAGACAGAGAGCCCTCTGTGCTTGAAAACTCCAGCTGCGTGTTACAACCAGAGCCGGAAGACCCTCCCTGAGACCATCGATAACGTTCATGGTAAATCCGCACAGTCCCCAACTCAGAAATCAGTGTTTTTGCCCTCTGGCAAATCCATCACCGTGAGGATTCCCTTTCTGGAAGCACCCACACGCTTGGTCTCCTGGAAACCGAGAAGGAGACTGATGGGCGGGCTCTTCTCTTAGATGGCTGTTGGACTGACCTCTGCCTTTCCCAGGTCACAACTACTGCTCGGTGAACAATGGTGGCTGCACCCACCTCTGCTTGGCCACCCCTGGAAGCAGGACCTGCCGTTGCCCTGACAACACCCTGGGAGTTGACTGCATCGAGCGGAAATGAAGACAAGAAGGCCTCATTCCCTCGGCAGGTACTCAGCGTCACCCTACTTGAAAGGGTCCAGACTGAAAACTGTCTGACCTGGTGGCGATCAGGCCCAGGTCCTACCCAGCCTGAGCCCCGACAGTATTCCCCTCACTGTTCCCCCAAAACATATGCCCCCGGCTTCTGGAATGGGAAAGCCCCTTCCCCCTCCACAAAGACAGAAAACCCCGACTCCGGATTATGTGCCCATCCCAGTGTTCTGGAAACTGTCCCCAGTTTATCCCCCTGGTGATGAGCAGGGCCCGCCCAGGCCTGAGCTGCCCCCTCCCCCTGTGGCCTTATAAGCTCAGCCTCACTCTGACACACCCACCATCCTGTTAACTCCCCGACGCACCAGCCAGGGCCACCTGGGCAAGGCCGTGAATGAAGGAGGGAGTTAACGCTCCCCCTCTTTTTTTCTCTTGGTGCTCTGATTTCCCTCTTCATGCTCCTTGCTTTTTACTCCCAAGTTCTATACCACCTGCATCCTGCCCAAGGCCCCCATCATAGTGAGCGAGCCCTGCCGTTTTGTTCAAAACCCACCTGGTCTTAGGGCCATGTGGATATGTATGGTCGATCATCAGCATTCCCTCCCAGATAGGTTACTGGCATTTCGGCAGCAGCCCTTGGTAGGCCAAGCCCTTCAATCAAAGGAGTGTCCAGTGGTAGGAATTTCAACACGTAGAGTCAGGTTTTGAGGACGAGGATTCTTGGATGTGCCTTAAATTACAGCATTGGATACCAAACGATCCCACTTTGCCCAAAGCACCTGGATCCGAGCATCTGGTCTCTTGAGCAGCATGGCCCCACTGGGGGCTGGTGCCAGTGGTGACGGGTCTATAGGCCTTCATCTCCCACCTCCACTGGTGAGAGCCAACCTACAGTCAGTCAGCATGAGCCCGTGTCTCGTTTGTTTCCCCCTCTGTTCATGGCTCTTGCTGGCTGTGTTCCCACCTACGAGGGCCAGAGTGAGTATTTATACTCCTGACCCAGACCCGTTATTGCTCATTGGTGTAATTAAAGGGACTGTCGCCACATTTCATGTTTATGTTTCTACAGTTTGTTTAGAAACATCTCCTGGCCATACGAGCAGCTAGTGTTATCTTTTTATCAGCTGCCGTCCCGAGGTGCAAAACAGTAGGAATTTTGGATTGAAAGTGGGGCATCAGGAGATGGAGTCTGTAAAGATTGGGGTAAGGGCGCAGAGAAGGCTCAGCAGAAAGTGTCACAAAGAGGTTGGTCAGGAGCAGGAGTGGAAAACCCAAGAGGAAAGGGGAGAAGAAGGTATTTAGCAACGGCAAGAAGAAAAACTCTCCAAAGAGAAAATGGCACATTTTGCCAAAGGACACCTTCGCTTGAGGACGTGGAAGAATTCGTCTGTTTTTCTCCTTGGGGAAGAGGTCCTTCCCTTATCTGCAAACCTCAGTACATTCATCACCCCTCCAGCCCATATCCCCTCCTCACTTTGTCCTCATGTGCTGTGGCATCACAATGGAGCCTGGACCGGGAACGAGCCTTGCCCTGAATGATTAGAGTTCCTTCTGAGAGCCAAATACATTCCCAAGAATCACGCAGTTTGGGGAACGTGTGGGTCTTTTATCCAGCCCAGCCCCATGAATTAGTTTCACCTTTTTATATTTATCATTCCATATCAAGCCCTCTATATCAAATGTTCGTCATGATTTTGTATAATTTTTATAACTATTTTATTCATTCTACTAGATTCATTCTAAAAGTTTTCAGATGGTAAATTCTTAAACTGTGGAAACCACTGAAGGTGCTTATTAACTGTTCCCCCCAGATTTTTACAAGTATTGGATGATTCCTTGAGTTTACAGTTGTATAAATATCAGTGCAGAAAATAAAATTTTTTTCATAAAAAAGAGTATGCTTTTTGAATAAAGAGATTTAATGTTGGGGGGTGATTCACAATGAGAAGATAGCCATTTAATAATCTGCAAAATCTTGGGGTGTCTGGGTGGCTCAGTGGGTTAAGTGTCCCACTCTTGATTTTGACTCAGGTCATGATCTCACAGTTTGTGAGTTCGAGCCCTGCATTGGGCTCTGCACTGACAGTGTGGAGCCTGCTTGGGATTCTCTCTCTCTCTCTCTCTCTCTCTCTCTCTCTCTCTCTCTCTCAAATAAATAAAACTCTTTTAAAAAATCTGCAAAATCTGTGGCACCCCCAGTGTTACAAGGGGTGGTTTGTTTCCCACAAAAGACTTAGGGGCTTATTGAATTAAAAAATCGTTCTACCAGGGACCCCAAACCACCCTTTTGGACATTGTTTTCATGTTCTAGAAAACTGTTCTTCAACCGCAAGCAATGGAGTTTCCTAACTCAGTTCTGAAGATGAGCCGTGTTTTTTTTCTTTTCCCTCTCCTCACCTCCAGAAGGAACAAAGGCACTTTCCTGGCACTGACCATGGCCTGAGATCCCTGGACTGTTCCATGCTGGCCCTTGGGTGGGATGGGAATGGGGCTTTGACTTGGGTAGAGCGAAGGGGGGCTCAGAAGTTGCAGGGGTGATGATGCTCAGAGCTGTGTTGTAGGCAGAAGGGAACTGGTACCCGAGGGCCTGCGTGGGACATGACAGCATCCGTGGGACCAGTGACAGCCTGCCAACATGAACTTCCTAAAGGGGACAGCTTCTGTTTGGGCTAAAACTTACAGTGTTTTAAGTTCATAAAACCTAGTTACCTAAAGGGTACATCAGATGGTAGAGTGGGGTGGTCCAGAGATACATCTCTACCAAGACAAGGACTGCACTGGCAGAAGCTGTCTGCATGAACTACTTTGGACCTCTAGATGTAGGAAAACACAGCTGCACCCCAGGGAGAGCTTGATGAAGAGGCTGCTGAATTTCGGTCAATTTCAGCTTTTCCTGAGTCGTGGTGGCCATCCGCCATCATGCAGCCCCACTGTGGGGCAGAGGGGACAGCAGCCCAAGCTCCTAGTGTGGCATTGCTGGGGCCACGGTGGGCCATAAGGACCTTGTTCTCCAAAAATCAGGGTTGTGTGTTCTGATTGCTGACTGCTGCTTTTAATTGTTGGGGGGACAGCACATGGAAAAAGTCTTGAGGACCTTAGATTTGACAATAGTTTCTTGTAGATGACATCAAAAGCCCAAACCTCAAAAGAAAAACAAATAGATCGGTCTTCAAAATTAAAAACTTCTGTGCACCAAAGGACACAACTAAGACAGCAAAAAGACAACCAACCCATGGAAGGGGAGAAAGTATTTGCAAATCCTGGTTAGTATCCAGAGTATATAAAGAACTACAACTCAGCAGTGACCATAACAAAAAACCCAATTCAAAAGTGGACAAAAGATTTGAATAAACATTTTTTTTTCAAAAGAAATCTACACATGGCCAATAAGTGGACAAAAAGATGCCCAACACCATTCGTCATTAGGGAAATGCAAGTCAGAAGCACAATTAGATGTCACTTCACATCAGTTAGGATGGCTATCAGAAAATGAAAACCAAAACCAAGCAGGCAAACAAAAAAGACCAGAAAATAATAAGTGTTGAGGAGGATTTGGAAAATGGAAGCCTTGTGCATAGCCAGTGGAAATGTAGACTGGTGTAGCAGGAAGGAAGGCAGCTTTGTGGTTCCTCAAAAAGTTGAATAGAAAATTACAGTACTTCTGGGGCGCCTGGGTGGTTCAGTTGCGTAAGTGACTTCAGCTCAGATCATGATCTCGCGATTCGTAAGTTTGAGCCCTGCATCTGGCTCTCTGCTGTCAGCATGGAGCCCACATTGGATCCTCTTTCTCTCTCTCAAAAATAAACTTTTAAAAAAAGAAGAAGAAAATTATCATAACTTCCAGGTAGACACCCAGAGGAATTGAAAGCTGGGGCTCAAATGGATACTTGTCCATCAGTGTTCATGGACAAGTATCACCTGTTCACCTTAACCAAAGATGGAAACAACCCGGGTGCCCATCAACAGATGAAAGGATAAATAAAATGTACTCATACAATGAAATATTCAGCTATAAAGAGGAAAAAGTTTCCAAGAACATCGATGAAACTTGAAGTTGTTATGCTAAGTGAAGTAAGCCAGACACAAAGGAACCAATATTGCATGATTCCACACATGTGAGGTACTTCGAATAGGCAAATTCACAGAGACGGAAAGTAGATGAGAGATTACCAGAGAGATTACCGGGGCGGGTAGCAGGGGGAATAGAGAGTTATCACTTAACGGTTTCAGAGTTTTTATTTAGGGTAATGAAAGAGTTGGGGACGTAGATGGTGGTGATGCCCTGACAACACTGTGAATGTACTTACAGCCCCTGAATCACACACTTAAAAATAGTTAAAATGGCAAATTTTATGTCATATATATATTCTATCACAACTTCTAAAAATTAATGTAATATACCAAGAGCCATAAAACGTGTACTTTAAATAAGTGAAGTATATGGCATGTGAATTATATATCAATAAAGCTTTTTTTTTTTTAATTAGAGCGAGGGAGTGAGTGGGGAGAGAGGCAGAGGGAGGGAGAGAATGGACATGGGGCTCGACCCCACAACCCTGGGATCTGACCAGAGCCGAAATCAAGAGTCAGACGTTCAACCGACTGAGCCACCCAGGTGCCCCAAAACTTCGTTTTCAAAAAAAAAAAAATCACTGTAATTAAAAAAAAAAAAAAAACTTGTTACCAAAGGTTGGCAAAATGCTGATCACTGTTGTAGTTGGCTACGTTGTATAGATTCCAGGATTCTAGACTAGGTACTTCTGCGAAAGGATTTTGCAAATAGAACTAGGGTTATTGGGGGCCAGGGTGGCTCAGTCGGTTAAGCATCGGGCTTCGGCTCAGGGCATGATCTCACAGTTTGTGAGTTCAAGCCCCACATTAGGCTCTAGGCTGACAGCTCAGAGCCTGGAGCCTGCTTCAGATTCTGTGTCTCCCTCGCTCTCTGCCCCTCCCCCACTCACACTCTGCCTGCCTCTCTCAAAAAATTAA